GGTCTGGAGGCCTTCCGTTCTGGGGAGGATCAATAAAACTGTCTCTATCAATACAGAGAGAAGGACAGAATCTTCTCTGAGGAGCAAAAGTTTAGCCTGGTCCCGGATCTGTTTGTGCTGTCTTGCCAACTTTTATGATCATCAATATGGTCATCAATGACCTTAGGAGTTGGAAATACAGCATAAACTGATCTGGGACGAGGCTATAAAAAGTTTGGGTATAACTGGTGATTGTTAGGTCAAGACAACCTCTTCACTGATGTCGTGAAACATCCTGCTCTGTCAGAGATGAGTGATCATTGTTGGAATTTCAACTTGAATATAGAAAGAATAAAGCTCTTAGGCTAGGTTTAGTAGGTTACCAAGGGTAACAGCGGTCTTCAGGGATGAAAATGTAATGGCTAGGTGTGAGGAAGACGTGTTAAAGCCACAGGAACAGGACCAGTAGAGGAATACATGAGGTAAAAGCAGTACTAAATCCATGGTGTTTTTAATAGTTCCACACGTGTTCTATGTTACAGGGCAATAACCGGCGCTTGGCCGACTTCCTCATAGTCCAGGAGGGCGCAGTTAAGGTACAGAATGAATGAAACAGAGGATTGAACTTAAACAATGGGTACGTTGACATAGAAACCCTCTGAACTTGCATGACTATTGCATTTCAAATAGTGCGCCAATCCACCATGTCTTATATAATATAATATAGTAATAATATAATATGTCTTGCTGCACCATATACTATAGGCTACTAGTAGCATGTAATAAACTACATGGCATCGAGCAACAATATTAAGTCACTGCATGTCTGGTTACTGATGTAATAGTAAGGATGTAACTACATTATTACTCTTCCTGACCTTGTTTGCTCCATCTGTTACCTTGAGCAACAAGTCTCTTATAAAATCAGAACTCTGACATTAGAGAGAGTTCTAGAATCCGGTGGGAATTCCAGAGCTCTAATGAGTGCCTTGACCTTTGCCTGCTCCATAATCTGTCTCACAATATTTAGACTTGTTAAATTGTTTCTTGGCATCCAGACCAGTCAGTGGCCTTCCGTTCCTGACGAGGGCTCCTAGCCAGTGGTCGCTCTGCCTCCTGTAGCTCCAACAGCTTGGTAGTGTCTGGTCCAGAGTGTAAAACACTTTTGGAATGTTTCATTCATTGTTTTCCGTGGGATGAATTTGCGGGGAGGGGACCGGCCAACTGGGGAAGCGGGCTTGGCACCAGCATATATGGGTGCTGTCGCTGTCTCTGTCTAGGGAGAGGATGAGGGAGAGGGGGAGGAGGAGAGAGGAGGAGAGAGGGAGAGGAGAGAGAGAGAGAGAGAGAGAGAGAGAGAGAGAGGAGAGAGCAGAGAGAAAGAGAGGAGAGAGAGAGAGAGAGGGAGAGAGATCGAGAGGCGAGAGAGAGGACGAGCGAGATGCGAGGGAGTAAAGAGGGAGAAAGAGGGAGAGAGAGAGAGAGAGGAGGAGAGGGAGCGAGGAGCAGAGAGAGAGAGAGAGAGAGAGAGAGAGAGAGAGAGAGATGAAAGAGAGAGAGAGAGGCAGACGGAGCTAGAAAAAAGAGAAGGGAAAAGAAAGGGGGGGGGAAAAAAAAATCCCCTTTTTAAAAAAAAAAAAAAAAAAAAAGGGGGGGGGGGGGGGGGGGGGGAAAAAAAAAGGGGGGGGAAAAAAAAGGGGGGAAGGGAGAGAGAGAGAGAAAGAGAGAGGAGAGGAGAAGAAGAGAGAGAGAAGAGAAAGAAGGAGAGAGAGAAAAAAAAGGGAAAAGGGGGGGGAAAAAAGAGGGGGGGAGGGAAAAAAAGGGAAAAATGGAAAAAAAAGAAAAAAAAAAAAAAAAAAAAAAAAAAAAAAAAAAAAAAAAAAAAAAAAAAAAAAAAAAAGGGAAAAAAAAAAAAAAAAAAAAAAATTTTTTTTTTTTTTTTAAAAAAACCCCCCCCCCCCAAAAAAAAAAAAGGGGGGAAAAAAACCCCCCCCCTTTTTCTCCCCCTCCCCCCTTTCTCTTTTCCCCCCCCCCCCCCCTTTCTCCCCTTCTCTTTTTTTTAAAACCCACCCCCTTTCCCCCCCAAACCAAAAAAAGTGGAATCAGGGTAAGGGTTCCTATGTTCTAAATTCTTTACAGAGAACAATTCTTCCTTTTTCCCCTCCAGAGTTAATACAGAAACAAACTTCAAATAGGTTTTCAAACTTAACATTAAAGTCAATGTTAGTGAGTGGTGAATTGAAGGTATTGGTCTTGGATTCAATTACAGTTTTTCTCGATTGCTAAGACACATTTCTTGAAGGCTGCTCTCCTTTTCTCTTAACTGTGAACACAAAACCCAATTTTCAAGCTACATTCACAAAACCTCAGACTCTTCTTGCAAAACCAAACTTTCACCTCAAAACAGTTCAATCTGTGCTCAAAACTGAACTATGTTGTCAAATCGTGCCCCGAGTCAATCAAAATAAAAAACACTACTGAACAGTCACTAAACACTACATAGATAAATAGAAAACACAATGCTCAGGACATGAAGCTGGAGAAATACATGTTTATTGTTCACTGTAGGCTAAATGCATGTTGCAAAACAAAAAAAACCTGTGCATTTAGCACTTGTACAAAAAGACAAAACAGAAATCTTGTGCATTTACATGTAGCACTTGTAAAAACAAACAGAAATCTTATGCGTTTGCCACTTGTGTACAGTAAGCCCATGTAAAAATAAAGTACAAAAATATACAAATAAGTGCCTTACTCAGCCACAGCATCATGTCTCCGTACTGGGTCAGGCCACAGGACTTCATCCACATCACAGGCCACATTTTGTCTGGCCAGGCAACGGGGGAAAAAACCCATGCCTCCACACCTATGTCACCACAGGCAAGTCCCATGGCTTGCAGGAGATTTACCCTGGTGTAAGGTTGGCGTTCATATACCTTCCACCGCCATGAGGAGAAGAATTCCTCAATGGGGTTTAGGAAAGGGGAGTACGGTGGAAGGCAAAGATTGATAAAACCTTGGTTCATATTGTACCACTCTCTAACCTGGAGGGCTCTGTGAAAACTCACATTGTCCCAAACAACAACATAGATGGGATGCTCATCCTGCTGCCCTAACAAAGCATCTCGCATGTGATTGAGGAAAATGAGGAGCTGGTGAGTGTTGTAGGGCCCCAGGTTGGCATGATGGTGGACAACCCCCATGATTGCTGATGGCAGCACATAATGTGACATTGCCACCACGCTGCCCAGGAACACCAACAATGGCCCGATGGCCAATCACATTACGGCCTCTCCTTCTCCTTTTGGTGAGATTAAACCCAGCTTCATCCATGTAGATGTATTGATGGGGTCTTTCCATTGCATCCAGTTGAAAAACCCTCTGTAGAAATATATATAGTTTTGTAAGTGATACGGAAAAAAGTGATTTAGGCCACTACAGTAAATCACTACTTAGAGTAATCAACATTGAATGTGTCTGGATATATGCCAACCTGTACATACTGGAATCTTTGCTCTTTGACTCTGTCTGAGTTGCGATCGAAGGGCACTCTGTATAGCTGTTTCATGCGCAGTCTGTTGCGCTTGAGGACACGATCAACAGTAGAGAGGCTGACACTGTTGATACCCTCAAAATTTAAATGGTCCTCAATGATCTTCTGCTGAATTTCGCTCAGTTTAATGGCATTGTTCTCACGGACCATATCAACAATTAGGGTCTCTTGGTGTGGGGAGAACATACCTGTCCTCCCACCCCCATGTGGCAGTCTTTCAATTCTACAAAAAAGAGAACATGGAGTTACAAAAAATATACATGGAATACTAGGCCTACAAACAGTTAGACCAACCCTCCATTACAATACTACAGTACATTGGTACAGTGATGTACTGAAACATATATTTACTTACAGTATACTGTGGTACAGTATATAGTATGTCATACAGTAATTGCTGTCAACATTTACATACTGTACTATAATGTCAAAAAATTGTAATTACCTGTTCTCTTCTCTAAATCTTCGGATTATGGTGGACACAGTGAATCTACTGATGTTTGGTTGTACCCTTTGTCCAGCCTCCCTCATGCTCATACCATGGACAAGAACATGGTCAATCACAGTAGCTCTGATTTCATCAGATATTACTGTTCTTTGTCTTCGCTGACCACCTCGACCACCTCGACCTCCTCTCACACGAACTCTTCCTCTCAGATTTCTATCCATTGTAGGGCCTCACAAACCAGTGCTCTCTGAACTGGCTTACTGTATATGTCATTAGCCACAAGTGTCATTAGCCACAAGTGTGATCAATTTTGAGTTGTTGTGTTCAAGTAGTGACACCTGTGCTCTAATTGTGTTTGACTTTTGTCACCTGTGCTCACCATTATGCAGCACGGGTGCATCACAATGAAAATGTGTTGGCAAGTTATTTCTAAACAGGTGAAAAGTGCTTATGGTTTTGCCAAAAGAGTGATTGATTCAATCAGTGGGTTCAGGCAACTTAGCATTTGGTTCAGACAATAGGGTTTAGTGTTTTAGCAATTGAGAAAAACTGTATTATTGATATCACATGGATGAGATGAACTTAGAAAAATGTCCAATTCAGTTTTCAGTTCCTGTACAGTGAGGTGTTGACTTTGTTCTGCAGATGGACCTGTGATGGTGGTTTTCAGCAGGAGTTAGTCCAATTCAAACAGAAGGAAGACATTGTTCTCAGACATTGGGTAGGGAACGTCCCAAACTGCACCCTATTTCCTATACAGTACACTACCTTTTGACCAGAGCCCTATGGACCATGGTCAAAAGTAGTACACTATAAAGGGAATAGGATACCGTTTGGAACGCAGGTAAGATGATAACATAATATGCCATTTTAGCAGACGCTTTTATCCAAAGCCACTTACAGTCATGTGTGCATAAATTTTTTTTGTGTATGGGTGGTCCCGGGGATCGAACCCACTACCCTGGCGGAACAAGCGCTGTGCTCTACCAGCTGAGCTACAGAGGACCAGATAATATAATATAATATTACACAAGCGCCGTGCCAATATCTTGAAACACTTACGTGTCGTCATGGATAGAACTTTAATAAATCCAAATAAACTCTGTGGCTACAAAATGAACATTTTATTTTTGAAATGTGCAGACATTGCTCTTTGGTTTCCACACAAAATATATTGCTACAGTATGTTACAAATGGAATGAATGTGACTTGAATATGAGTGAATTAAAGTTTTCAACAGGTTTAATGAAAAAATGAAAGAGAATCAGAACTCAAGAGGCCATGACTTTGACATCCATTTGCGTGTGCCTGAATAGCTTTTCCTTTCCAGCCTAAACATGCAAACATGCTACATGTATCACAACAAAACAAAATACAGTATACGTTTCTCAAAAAAAATCTGCTCTGCGTTTACATTTAAAACAGAAGTCACGCGTGAACATTCAAAACACTTTCATGAAACTACAGTATATGTAGTCATAGCTAGTTGCTGTGCTTTGGTTGACCAGTTTCACATAAAAGAAAACCGACAAGCAATTCAAATCTTCGGTCTTTGGTATATGAAAGCAATTATACAACATATTCTACTAAAATATATCCCATCTCTGTCTTCATCTAGTGCTGGGTTATTATTTATGTTGACCATCTTTGACAAAATTAGATCGATAAGACTCCCTTTGAGAGTTCCAGATAAGAATACATTCCATAAACAATCCCTTGATTTGTGTTGATGTACCGTAGGTAATTATGTTTTTCTCCTCTTAATTTGTTTTACTGGACGCGAGTCATCGTCCTGCTGGAGAGACTTTTCCTGACCTTCTGGAAGAGATCATCTGAAACAAGTTCATAACAACATTTAACACCAGTTCAACAACAGTTTGATTTGTGGAATGCACCACGTGAGACTGTGGGAGATGTAGATAAGAATATTTACCATTTTTGACTCCGATTCTTGAGTCCATCTGTGAAGAAAGGAATACAACAATATTTAGATATCAATCTACAAATACAAAACAAATCTTTTTTTTAGATAATGTACATTCACATAGCTGCAGATTTACAACGACGGTCATCTAATAAGACAGTAAAGAGAGACATGATAAGTGAACTGTCTATAAATGTCTTACTCCCTTGGAAGAGACGGGGGCATCAGCCTGTTCCCTGTCAACCTTAGGAGCTGGAGGAGATAGAGAGAGAAGGAGACCGTTGGAGGATAATACAGTATGCCATATACAGTAAGGTGAGATGGTTTATTCAGTATTTATAAAGTGATTGCTCTTACGCAGTGGCGTTATGATGGCTCCCACAGCGTGGACAACTCCATTGGTGGCCATCAGGTCGGCTTCAACCACTGGCACCTTGTTGATGTACACTGTCTGGTTCCTCTGAAGGAGAAAAAAACATACAGGCCATTTACAAGGTGATACAAAAGTTTTAGAACACCTACTCATTCAAGTTTATTTTTTTTTTGTGACTATTTTCTACATTGTGGAATAATAGTGAAGACATCATAATAACTGTAAGTCGCTCTGGATAAGAGCGTCTGCTAAATGACTAAACATTTTAATGTAAAATGAAATAACACATATGGAACCATGTAGTGACCAAAAAAGTGTTCAAAAAATCAAACTAGATTTTAGATTCTTCAAAGTAGCCACCCTTTGCCTTGATGAAAGCTTTGCAAACTCTTCTCTCAACCAGGTTCACCTGGAATGCTTTTCCAACAGTCTTGAAGGAGTTCCCACATATGCTGAGCACTTGTTGGCTGCTTTTCCTTCACTCTGCGGTCCAACAAATCCCAAACCATCTCAATTGGGTTGAGGTCGGGTGATTGTGGAGGCCAGGTCATCTGATGCAGCACTCAATCACTCTCCTTATTGGTCAAATAGCTCTTACACAGCCTGGAGGTGTGTTGGGTCATTGTCCTGTTGAAAACCTAATTATAGTCCCACTAAGCGCAAACCAGATGGGATGGCGTATCGCTGCAGAATGCTGTGGTAGCCATGCTGGTTAAATGTGCCTTGAGTTCTAAATAAATCAACGACAGTGTCACAAGCAAAGCACCCCCACACCATCACACCTCCTCCTCCATGCTTCACGGTGGGAACCACACATGCAGAGATTATCCATTCACCTACTCTGTGTCTCACAAAGACACGGCGGTTGGAACCAAAAATCTCAAATTTGGACTCATCAGACCAAAGGACAGATTTCCACCGGTCTAATGTCAATTGCCCGTGTCTCTTGGCCCAAGCAAGTCTCTTCTTCTTATTGGTGTCCTTTAGTAGTGGTTTCTTTGCAGCAATTCGACCATGAAGGCCTGATTCATGCAGTCTCCTCTGAACAGTTGATGTTGAGATGTGTATGTTACTTGAACTCTGTGAAGCATTTATTTGGGCTGCAATCTGAGGTGCAGTTAACTCTAATGAACATATCCTCTGCAGCAGAGGTAACTCTGGGTCTTCCTTTCCTCTGGCGGTCCTCATGACAGCCAGTTTCATCATAGCGCTTGATGGTTTTTGCGACTGCACTTGAAATGTTCCTGGATTGACTGACCTTCATGTCTTAAAGTAATGATGGACTGTCATTTCTCTTTGCTTGTTTGAGCTGTTCTTGTCATAATATGGACTTGGTCTTTTACCAAATAAGGCTATCTTCTGTATACCACCCCTACCTTGTCACAACACAACTGATTGGCTCAAACGCATTAAGAAGGAAATAAATTCCACAAATTAACTTGTAACAAGGCACACCTGTTAATTGAAATACATTCCAGGTGACTACCTCATGAAGCTGTTTGAGAGAATGCCAAGAGTGTGCAAAGGGTGGCTACTTTGAAGAATCTCAAATATAAAATATATTTAGATTTGTTTAACACTTTTTGGGTTACTACATGATTCCATATGTGTTATTTCATGGTTTTGATGTCTTCACTATTATTCTACAATGTAGAAAATAGTACAAATTAAGAAAAATGAGTAAGTGTGTCCAAACGTTTGACTGGTACTGTATAGCAATACATTGTACACAAATTATTACAAATTATGTAAGCAATAGAAGTACACAATAGAAGTACACAACAAAAAAAGTACAACTTTTCTCCACTGAAAACAAAATCATAAATAAAAAGAAAAACATGTACTGGTAGTACATGTTAGTACTGGTAGTAAATGTTAATATGGTAGTACATGTTAGTACATGTTAGTACTGGTAGTACATGTTAATACGGTAGTACATGTTAGTACTGTTATTACATGTTAGTACATGTTAGTACTGGTAGTACATGTTAGTACTGGTAGTACATGTTAATACGGTAGTACATGTTAGTACATGTTAGTACTGGTAGTACATGTTAGTACTGGTAGTACATGTTAGTACTGGTAGTACATGTTAGTACATGTTAGTACATGTTAGCACTGGTAGTACATGTTAATACTGGTAGTACATGTTAGTACTGGTAGTACATGTTAATACGGTAGTACATGTTAGTACTGTTATTACATGTTAGTACATATTAGTACTGGTAGTACTGGTAGTACATGTTAGTACTGGTAGTACATGATAGTACTGTTATTACATGTTAGTACTGTTATTACATGTTAGTACTGGTAGTACATGTTAGTACTGGTAGTACTGGTAGTATTGGTAGTACATGTTAGTACTGGTAGTACATGTTAGTACTGGTAGTACATGTTAGTACTGGTAGTACATGTTAGTACTGTTATTACATGTTAGCACTGGTAGTACATGTTAGTACTGGTAGTACATGTTAATACGGTAGTACATGTTAATACTGGTAGTACATGTTAGTACTGTTATTACATGTTAGTACTGTTATTACATGTTATTACTGGTAGTACATGTTAGTACTGGTAGTACTGTTATTACATGTTAGTACTGGTAGTACATGTTATTACATGTTAGTACATGTTAGTACATGTTAGTACATGTTAGTACTGCTATTACATGTTAGTACATGTTAGTACTGGTAGTATTGGTAGTACATGTTAGTACTGGTAGTATTGGTAGTACACATGTTAGTAGTATCAATATCAAACATTATTTGTTATCAGATCAAATTGTTACAAGATCAACATTTTTTAGGATCAAATTGTTCTAGGATCATGTGTTCCAGGATCATGTGTTCCAGGATCATGTGTTCTAGGATCATGTGTTCCAGAATCATGTGTTCTAGGATCATGTGTTCCAGGAATCATGTGTTCCAGGATCAAACAGTCACGAGGGCCTACTGTACCATGTTCAGCTCCAGCTTCTCTCCCTGCAGAGGCTTCAGTCTGGTATGGGAGCCCACTCCTCCACTGACCAGAATCTCCTTAGCCATGTGGTACTTCAACACACTGGCCAGCTCCTGGCGGTTGCCTAGACAACAAAATGAAATAGAACACCTACCGGATCATATTGTATCTCTATGGTCTAGACATTTACAAACAGAGGATTTAGGAAAACTAACAGCCCGCATTAAAACACTGCTGAGGAATGAATATTGCTTAAAAAGTGAAGAGGAATCGGTTGTGCAAGTTGCAACATGGAACTGACGAGTTAAGGTCACTTTAGCATTACAGCTACATTCTCATTGCTGTGGCCAAGTCATTGAACATGAAGTCATTCAACATGATGCTATTTGTCTAAACATGTCCTGCTCATCGAAACAGTTGTTGTTTCAAAACGGCTAGGCAATCATTAACAAACAGCAGTGTTTATTCATTATATAAATTATTTTATATACCCAAACAAGCGTATTTGTAGCTGCAGTATACTGTAGGTGGGTGATACTGCAACTGAACAACTGGCTCCAGTTAACCACAGCTGTTTGGCATTCATACGTGTGGCAGCATCCAAGATGCATTCTTTCATGTCATCATTTCCTGGGTGTAGATAGGTCATTAGGTTTATACAAATAGTTCTGTCTGTCTGCCGAACATATTCTCACTGTGGGTCATATCAGGTTGTCTTTAGGTGCCATTGATTTTTCTCTACTGGAAAAGTACTGTGGTCTGCAAAGCCAGTCATGTGAAACCTGTTCACAGTTTGGTTGTTTGTCAGGCAGGATGCCAGTCACCGAAATACACTACATATGGCAAACACTACATATGGCATACACTACATAAGGCATACACTACATATGGCATACACTACATATGGCATACACTACATATGGCATGCACTACATATGGCATACACTACATAAGGCATACTACATATGGCATCACTACATATGGCATACACTACATATGGCATACACTACATATGGCATACACTACATATGGCATACACTACATATGGCATACACTACATATGGCATACACTACATATGGCATAGACTCAAGGCATACACTACATAAGGCATACACTACATATGGCATACACTACATATGGCATACACTATATATGGCATACACTACATAAGGCATACACTACATATGGCATACACTACATATGGCATACACTACTAAAATATGGCATGCACTACATATGGCATACACTACATATGGCATACACTACATATGGCATCACTACATATGGCATACACTACATAAGGCATACACTACATAAGGCATACACTACATATGGCATACACTACATAAGGCATACACTACATAAGGCATACACTACATATGGCATACACTACATATGGCATACACTACATAAGGCATACACTACATATGGCATACACTACATATGGCATACACTATATATGGCATACACACATAAGGCATACACTACATATGGCATACACTACATATGGCATACACTACATATGGCATGCACTACATATGGCATGCACTACATATGGCATACACTACATATGGCATACACTACATATGGCATGCACTACATATGGCATACACTACATAAGGCATACACTACATAAGGCATACACTACATATGGCATACACTACATAAGGCATACACTACATAAGGCATACACTACATATGGCATACCTACATATGGCATACACTACATATGGCATACACTACATATGGCATACACTACATAAGGCATACACTACATATGGCATACACTACATATGGCATACACTACATAAGGCATACACTACATATGGCATACACTACATATGGCATACACTACATATGGCATACACTACATATGGCATGCACTACATATGGCATACACTACATATGGCATACACTACATATGGCATACACTACATATGGCATACACTACATATGGCATACACTACATATGGCATACACTACATATGGCATACACTACATATGGCATGCACTACATATGGCATACACTACATATGGCATACACTACATATGGCATACACTACATATGGCATACACTACATATGGCATACACTACATATGGCATACACTACATATGGCATACACTACATAAGGCATACACTACATATGGCATACACTACATATGGCATACACTATATATGGCATACACTACATAAGGCATACACTACATATGGCATACACTACATATGGCATACACTACATATGGCATGCACTACATATGGCATGCACTACATATGGCATACACTACATATGGCATACACTACATATGGCATGCACTACATATGGCATACACTACATAAGGCATACACTACATAAGGCATACACTACATATGGCATACACTACATAAGGCATACACTACATAAGGCATACACTACATATGGCATACACTACATATGGCATACACTACATATGGCATACACTACATATGGCATACACTACATATGGCATACACTACATAAGGCATACACTACATATGGCATACACTACATATGGCATACACTACATAAGGCATACACTACATATGGCATACACTATATATGGCATACACTACATAAGGCATACACTACATATGGCATACACTACATATGGCATACACTACATATGGCATGCACTACATATGGCATACACTACATATGGCATACACTACATATGGCATGCACTACATATGGCATACACTACATAAGGCATACACTACATAAGGCATACACTACATATGGCATACACTACATAAGGCATACACTACATAAGGCATACACTACATATGGCATACACTACATATGGCATACACTACATATGGCATACACTACATATGGCATACACTACATATGGCATACACTACATAAGGCATACACTACATATGGCATACACTACATATGGCATACACTACATAAGGCATACACTACATATGGCATACACTACATAAGGCATACACTACATAAGGCATACACTACATATGGCATGCATGTGATAGAGCACATATGGCCGAGAGGTGTCTGTTATAATGATCCTAGTCTTACATCCCCAGACCTCAACCCTGTATTCTCGTTTGAGATTGGCTTTGTTTTAGAAAAACTAGAATGTCTGGAGCCAGGGCTGTCCTTACCCATGAGTTTGTTGAGGTCAGCCTTTGGCAAGGCGCTGAAAGCATCGTTGGTGGGCGCGAACACGGTATGGGGACCGGCCTGGTTCATCAGCTCTGTCATGCCAGCCGTCTGGATGGCACCTACCAACAGACTGGAACAAAGAAGAGAACACACACTTAGAAAGACCATCCTTAGAGCAAGAAAGACTTGACAACTGACTGATTTCCAACACACACAGTTTGAAAAAACATATTCAGAGCAAGAAAGAGGACTTGACAGTTGACTAATAGGAAAGTTTTAACCACATCGATGAGTTGTGGTTTCTGATGTGCCAAATATACCAAAATATGTATCAGTTGAATCATGGCAGAACAGAACAGATCACTGGTAGTGAAAACATACAGAGAAAATGGAAAAGAACCAGGTCTCTGAACGTGGGTGGAAATGAAGCAGCAGATTGCCTTTCAGCCTTCCAGTTCTGGGAAAACCATTAGACGCTTGGGGGGACCTTCTCCCCAGGATATCTAGCTACAGAAGAAGAACACACGCTGTGCTACGTAGGAAGAAGCTACACTGTTAAAATGAAGTGCGTTGTAACACCAAAATCAGTGGCAACTGAGCTGCCACCAACTGAACTGAGCTGCCACCAACTGAACTGAGCTGCCACCAACTGAACTGAGCTGCCACCAACTGAACTGAGCTGCCACCAACTGAACTGAGCTGCCACCAACTGAACTGAGCTGCCACCAACTGAACTGAGCTGCCACCAACTTGAAGGAGACAAAATCTTAACTTTGCTGGAGTATTGAAACACATCCTCCTGAGATGTTCTGAATCATTTACATGGTGTGTTGTAGCACCCCTTAATCAAGTGTTGCGCAACACCTAGCCAGGGACTGGGAGCACTAACAGAAAAGATTGAAAACACTATTTTGGTGTTTCGAGTCCTGTCTAGTGCAGAATTAGATACCTTCTCCTTTGCTGTCGTTTACTCTCTCTACAGCTTCAAAATGCCAGTATGATGTTTTGAATCCTGTCTAGTGCAGAATTATATCCCTTTGTCTGGTGTCTTAATGGTTAACATTGTTTTATGTATTTCATCATTTGCCATTTTATACCGGTTTGGCGGGCATTGTCAAGCTCAGTGTTCAAACCACCAGCACTAACTGGATGTTGAACTGCAAGACTTGAGGATTCTGCACTTGCCTCATCCATTGACATTCATGAACGTGGGAATGGGTGCTGTGCTCATTGAATGTCAATTTGTCTGACGGTTTTGATATCCGTTCATCATGATCCATTACACCTCATGATGGCACAACAAGCTTAATACTAATATAGAAATATACTTTTCTTCAAACATTCATACAACATTGGGTGAAATAATCAAAAAGTCAAATGTTTTGAATAACCCACAATCCTCTAAAAAGAGTCACGTGGCAAGATAAGGAAATGCAATGTGATTAAAATCAAAAGACTTCCAATGAGTTCAATCACTCAATTTGAAAGATACTTACATTTTTAGCAACATATAAAGTTGGATTTATTTTTACATTATTTTGGTCAATTGAAATTAACAAATCATTGAAACGACTAGCATATTTTATTTTTAAAAATATATTTGTACCCTTTATTGAGACAGTTATGAAATGACAAAGGGGATACAGATAGGTGGGAGAAACAGACTGAAGGGTTGTTCTTCTGAAATTAAATCATGTTGCCTCAAGATATTATATTAAGGACAACCTTTGTAAGCCTTTTCATTGAATCATTCACTGATTTATTTTCTTTGATTCATTGACTCTCACCTGAATCGGTCATCAGCCTTCAGGACATCCATGATGGTACCCATTGGCGGAGTCAGGACCTTGTCGACCGTGAACATGCTGCCAAAACGGCCGGTCTTGTCGTGGGCAGCGATACAGGAGTTCTCAATGCACAGGCTCTGTTATTAAAACAGAGAGAGAGAGATAGAGAGAGAGAGAGAGAGAGACAGAGAGAGAGAGAGAGAGAGAGAGAGAGAGAGAGAGAGAGAGAGAGAGAGAGAGAGAGGAGAGAGAGAGAGAGAGAGAGAGAGAGAGAGAGAGAGAGAGAGAGAGAGAGAGAGAGAGAGAGAGAGAGAGAGAGAGAGGAACAGACAGCGAGGTTAGAGGGACGTTTGCTCTACTCATCACCATGATTGCATCCCAAATGGAACCCTATTCCCTATGTAGTGCACTACTTTTGACCAGAGCCCTATGGGCCCTGTGGACTCTGGTCAATAGTAGTGCACTACGTAGGGAATAGGGTTCCATTTGGGATGCACCCCATCCAGTCTACCAAGCAGTCTGGCACCTGGCTTCCTTCCTTTCTTCCCCTGCACTCTGACATGATGACTCACAAGTGGTCTCTCTCTCTCTCTCTGGAAAACGCTTATTGTGGTCGTCTGGAAATTCCATTACAAAGCAGAAATGTGAGCGTTGCTGAACAACCATCTGCCACCCAGGAGAGAACGGAGCAGAGCTGTGAAAACGGTGTGAAACAACATCCTGGATAACTATTCTACAGTATGAGGACGTGTAGAGGGACTAAAACCTCACTAGTTAGGCCTACTTCTCTGACTCATTTGGAGAATTTGGAGAATTGACCACCCAGCAACTGTTCATTGTTAATATGAAAACAAGCACAATCATGCTTTGTATAGTTTGGTATAGTGTATTTTGGGTAATCTATGTAATGAGTTAGCCCTTAGGAAGAGAGTAATCTACATAATGAGTTAGCCCTTAGGAAGAGAGTAATCTACATAATGAGTTAGCCCTTAGGAAGAGAGTAATCTACATAATGAGTTAGCCCTTAGGAAGATATTTGTCTTTTTCCAGAAGAACAACTGTGCTCAGAGTTACTTTTAGATCGCGCTCTTAATTCAGCTCAATTGAGGCTTTTATATCCTCTGATGCCAGCTGTAGGTCCTCTAGAGGGCTTTGATCAGTGGCTCTTACGTTACGGTAGACCAACACTCTGAGGTTGATTCCTCCCAGAGTCTCTAGCTCTTGTCCGTGGTACAGCGACCTGGAAGACAGCTGCTCCTTCAGGATGTGGTTCTTCAACAGCTTCTTCAGCTCGCCAGACATCGACACACCCTCTGTTAACAATAGACAAGTTATCAGATCGATGAAATGGCTGAAGAATCATGGCTCAAGTCCCTCCTGTTTGTTAGCACAGAGAGGGAAGAGGGAGGGAGGCAGAGAGAGGGAGGGAGACAGAGAGAGAGATGGAGAGAGAGAAAGAGATGGAGAGAGACAAAGATGGAGAGAGAGTGCCATCGATCGATGTTACCTTTGAAAGCATCATTCTGAGGGGTCAGGATGGTCAGAGCCTCTGAGCCAGAAAGGTGGGCGCTAAGACCAGCGTCAACAAACAGCTTGGTTGCTGTGGTAACGACGGATCCCTGGGCCAGCTCCAATAAGGTCTTAGCTTTAAAAAGAGATCAGTACATATAAACATTTATCACTGCACATAGAGATGGGAAAGACTCCTCATAAGTAGACTTGAGGTCTTGTCTCAACAAGAACCATTGAGTTGAATTTACTTTATATTCAGTGCAGTAGCGTCCCAAACAGACACACGTAGACTCTCAACTCCTCTGATCGTCAGAGACTAAATCACCTTTACTAATAATCTCATAACAGAGATCTTCTCAGACTAAATCACCTTTACTAATAATCTCATAACAGAGATCTTCTCAGACTAAATCACCTTTACTAATAATCTCATAACAGAGATCTTCTCAGACTAAATCACCTTTACTAATAATCTCATAACAGAGATCTTCTCAGACTAAATCCCCATTACTAATAATCTCATAACAGAGATCTTCTCAGACTAAATCACCATTACTAATAATCTCATAACAGAGATCTTCTCAGACTAAATCACCTTTACTAATAATCTCATAACAGAGATCTTCTCAGACTAAATCACCATTACTAATAATCTCATAACAGAGATCTTCTCAGACTAAATCACCATTACTAATAATCTCATAACAGAGATCTTCTCAGACTAAATCACCTTTACTAATAATCACATAACAGAGATCTTCTCAGACTAAATCACCTTTACTAATAATCTCATAACAGAGATCTTCTCAGACTAAATCACCATTACTAATAATCTCATAACAGAGATCTTCTCAGACTAAATCACCATTACTAATAATCTCATAACAGAGATCTTCTCAGACTAAATCACCTTTACTAATAATCTCATAACAGAGATTTTCTCAGACTAAATCACCTTTACTAATAATCTCATAACAGAGATTTTCTCAGACTAAATCACCATTACTAATAATCTCATAACAGAGATCTTATCAGACTAAATCACCTTTACTAATAATCTCATAACAGAGATCTTCTCAGACTAAATCACCTTTACTAATAATCTCATAACAGAGATCTTCTCAGACTAAAGCACCTTTACTAATAATCTCATAACAGAGATCTTCTCAGACTAAATCACCTTTACTAATAATCTCATAACAGAGATCTTCTCAGACTAAATCACCTTTACTAATAATCTCATAACAGAGATCTTCTCAGACTAAATCACCTTTACTAATAATCTCATAACAGAGATCTTCTCAGACTAAATCACCATTACTAATAATCTCATAACAGAGATCTTCTCAGACTAAATCACCATTACTATTAATCTCATAACAGAGATCTTCTCAGACTAAATCACCTTTACTAATAATCTCATAACAGAGATCTTCTCAGACTAAATCACCTTTACTAATAATCTCATAACAGAGATCTTCTCAGACTAAATCACCTTTACTAATAATCTCATAACAGAGATCTTCTCAGACTAAATCACCATTACTAATAATCTCATAACAGAGATCTTCTCAGACTAAATCACCTTTACTAATAATCTCATAACAGAGATCTTCTCAGACTAAATCACCTTTACTAATAATCTCATAACAGAGATCTTCTCAGACTAAATCACCTTTACTAATAATCTCATAACAGAGATCTTCTCAGACTAAATCACCATTACTAATAATCTCATAACAGAGATCTTCTCAGACTAAATCACCTTTACTAATAATCTCATAACAGAAGGCAGAGGTCCAATAATTTGAATTACAGCCTTATATTTGGCGTTGACGCAACTCTCAATTTAAGTCTCTGGCTCTGGTTTGAATACCTGAGTCTGGGATGAGGAGCTCGTTGATGTAGTGGATGACTCCGTTGGTCCCCAGCTGGTCTTTCTTCTGGATGATGGCCTTCCCGTTGAGGGTCATGTCAGCCCCATCACAGCCCACCTCAAGCACAGTTCCCTGTAAGGTCTCCAGGGGAGTACCAGATGTGATGGACTCTGCACACTGCATGTTCTTCAGGATGTGGTAGTTCAGCAGGTCTGGATGGAGAGTACAGACACAAGTAGAAGTTAGTTAATGTTAATAAGTGATTGGGTTTCCTTCTCCAATATCTATCTCCCCATTGTATATCCAACTGTCCTTAAAAAAAAAAAAGAGTCACCTCTCAAAGCCACGGGGTCTCCCAGGATCCTGTTGAGCATTTCAGGGGGGATCTTCGCGAAGGCTTCGTTGGTTGGAGCGAACACCGTGTAGTGACCATCACTCTCCAGCATTTGGGTCAGACCAGCAGCAGCAACAGCAGTCTAAAACACAGAGATTCACACACTGAATCAACACTGAATCAACACTGAACACTGTTTTTCTCTACATGATTCAAATTGCACATACAATAAAAAAGACTGATAGCATTGCATAGCATATGTTCAACATGTATAAAATGGTAAGAGAGTTCTGTGTGATAGACTGTTCTGTGAATGAATGAATGAATGAATGAATGGATTAATGGATAAAGCAACAAACTGTTAAAACTCATTTACTTACACGAAGAGTCTCCAGATCATCATCGGTGTCGATGAAAGTGTGCACGTCGTTGGTAACGGCGGTGATGACTCTGTCCACAACGTGCACGATCCCGTTGGTAGCATGCTGGTCTGTCTTCACCAGACGAGCACAGTTCACTGTTACAATCTGCAATAACGAGAGGCAATTATGACGTTTTTTGTTCATCTCATGATTTAGCTGGCTTTCAACGTGACCGTTTTTGAAAAATTACCAAAACTGTTTGGTAAAGATTTTTAGACGACGACGTTGTCTGTTCATGTCTCTTTTGTTGTTGAGCTGTCTCTCTATAGGTTCCAACTGACTTGGGCCCAGATGGCCTGTGTCATACAGCACAAACAGATCTGGGACCAGGCCAGGTCAAAACATCATATACCTTCCAATCACAGGAGGCTGGTGAGGACAGGACGGCTCATAACAATGACTGGAATGACGTGAATGAAATGGTATCAAACAGATGGAAACCCTGTGTTTGATGTGTCAACACCATTCTATTCATTCCATTCCAGTCGTTACTATGGAGCCCGTCCTCCCCAATTAAGGTGCCAACCAGCCGCCTGTGTTTCCAATATAAATGCAACATTAAACATCGGACAGATGCTACTCACTCCGTTGGGGTAGTGGTGGATGTGAACGTTGAAGTCTTGGTACATGGAGGGGAAGGCAGATCCATGCTTCAGGTCCTCAGAGGTCAAACGGCGGTTCACCATGTGGTAGTGGAGTGCGTTGAGCAGCTCAATGTTCACGTTGCTCACCAGAGCATCCAGGATTTCCTACACAACCATAAAAACCAGAGTCATATTTTCATCAGAATAACGATCAGTCACAAGCTAACAATATATGCTGAACAAAAATATAAAACGCATCACGTAAAGTTGTTTACATCCATGTTAGTGAGCATTTCTCCTTTGCCAAGATAATCCATCCACCTGACAGGTGTGGCATATCAAGAAGCTGATTAAACAGCATGATCATTACACAGGTGCACCTTGTGCTGGAGACAATAAAAGGCCACTAAAATGTGCAGTTCTGTCACAAAACACAATGCCACAGATGTCTCAAGTTGAGGGAGAGTGCAATTGGCATGCTGAATGCAGCAATGTCCACCAGAGCTGTTGCCAGAGAATTGAATGATAATTTCTCTACCATAAGCCGGCTCCAATGTCGTTTTAGAGAATTTGGCAGTATGTCCAACCGGCCTCACAACCACAGACCACGTGTATGGCGTCGTGTGGGCGAGTGGTTTTCTGATGTCAACATTGTGAACAGAGTTCCCCATGGTGGTGGTGGGATTATGGCATGGGCAGGCATAAGCTACGGACAACAAATACAATTGCATTTTATCAATAGCAATTTCAATGCACAGAGATACCGTGACGAGATCCTGAGGCCCATTGTCATGCCATTCATCCGCCGCCATCACCTCATGTTTCAGCATGATAATGCACAGCTCCATGTCACAAGGATCTGTACACAATTCCTGGCAGCTGAAAATGTCCCAGTTCTTCCATGGCCTGCATACTCAACAGACATGTCACCCATTGAGCATGTTTGGGATGCTCTGGATAGACGTGTAGGACAGCGTGTTCCAGTTCCCGCCAATATCCAGCAACTTCGCACAGCCATTGAAGAGGAATGGGACAACATTCCACAGGCCACAATCAACAGCCAGATCAACTCTATGTGAAGGAGATGTGCCGCACTGCATGAGGCAAATGGTGACACCAGATACTGTCTGGTTTTCTGATCCATGCTCCTACCTTTACTTTAAGTATCTGTGACCAACAGATGCATATCTGTATTCCCAGTCATGTGAAATCCATTGACTAGGGCCTAATGAATTTATTTCACTTGACAGATTTCCTTATATGAACTTTAACTATTAGAAATTGTTGCAAGTTGCGTTTATATTTTTGTTCAGTTCATTCGGAAAGTATTCAGACCCCTTGACTTTTTCTACATTTTGTTACATTACAGCCTTATTCTAAAATGTATTAAATAGTTTTTTCCCCCTTGTATGTAAATGTATTAAAAATAAATAAATATGAAATATCACATTTACATAAGTATTCAGACCCTTTCCTCAGTACTTTGTTGAAGCACCTTTGGCAGCGATTACAGCCTCGAGTCTTCTTGGGTATGACGCTACAAGCTTGGCACACCTGTATTTGGGGAGTTTATCCCATTCTTCTCTGCACATCCTCTCAAGCTCTGTCAGGTTGGATGGGGAGCATCGCTGCACAGCTATTTTCAGGTCTCTCCAGAGATGTTCGATCGGGTTCAAGTCCGGGCTCTGGCTGGGCCACTCAAGGACATTCAGAGACTTGTCCCGAAGCCACTCCTGCGTTGTCTTGGCTGTGTGCTTAGCGTCGTTGTCCTGTTGGAAGGTGAACCTACGCCCCAGTCTGAGGTCCTGAGCAGGTTTTCATCAAGAATCTCTCTGTACTTTGCTCCGTTCATCTTTCCCTCGATCCTGACTAGTCTCCCAGTCCCTGCCGCTGAAAAACATCCCCACAGCATGATGCTGCCACCACCATGCTTCACCATAGGGATGGTGCCAGGTTTCCTCCAGACGTGACGCTTGACATTCAGGCCAAAGAGTTCAATCTTGGTTTCATCAGACCAGAGAATCTGGTTTCTCATGGTCTGAGAGTCCTTTAGGTGCCTTTTGGCAAACTCCAAGCGGGCTGTCATGTGCCTTTTACTGAGGAGTGGCTTCCGTCTGGCCACTCTACCATAAAGGCCTGATTGGTAGAGTGCTGCAGAGATGGTTGTCCTTCTGGAAGGTTCTCCCATCTCCACAGAGGAACTCTGGAGCTCTGTCAGAGTGACCATCGGGTTCTTGGTCACCTCCCTGACCAAGGCCCTCTCCCCGATTGCTCAGTTTGGCCGGGCAGCCAGCTCTAGGAAGAGTCTTGGTGGTTCCAAACTTCTTCCATTTAAGAATGATGGGCGCGACTGTGTTCTTGGGAATCTTCAATGCTGCAGACAGTTTTTGGTACCCTTCCCCAGATCTGTGCTTCGACACAATCCTGTCTCCGAGCTCTACGGACAATTCCTTCGACCTCATGGCTTGATTTTTGCTCTGACATGCACTTTCAACTGTGGGACCTTATATAGACAGGTGTGTGCTTTTCCAAATCATGTCCAATCGATTGAATTTACCACAGGTGGACTTTAATCAAGTTGTAGAAACATCTCAAGGATGATCAATGGACACAGGATGCACCTGAGCTCAATTTTTAGTCTCATAGCAAAGGGTCTGAATACTTACGTAATTAAGGTATTTCTGTTTTTTGTTTTTGATAACTTTGCAAAAATATCTAAAAACCTTTTTTCGCTTTGTCATTATGGGGTATTGTGTGTAGATTGATTAGGAAAATGTAATTACATTTTATCCATTTTAGAGTAAGGCTGTAACATAACAAAATGAGGAAAACGTCAAGGGGTCTGAATACTTTCCGAATGCCCTGTATATATTAACAAATACATGAACTTGGTTATAGCTATAACTACTGCTCCTAAAAATAACTTTGAAACGCTAGTGTGGTTGGTTAGGCTGATAACACATAGCCCGAGGCCAGCATAATACAATATCTCTAGATGCAACAGGATTGGGGTCAATTATATTTAATTTCCAGGTTTTCCCTCAGTGTATCCCCTCTCCTGTGAAAACTAGACACACTCACAACGGGTAGGGCCGCCCATGCATCGTTGCTTGGAGCGAAGAAGGTGAAGCTCCCTGGTCCCTCGATCTCCTCCCTCAGCTGAGCCCTCTCTGAGTATATCTTAGTGGTGGCAGCTCCAACCATACCCAGGGTGTTGTAGATGTTCACCAACGGCAGGGCTGGAAGAAAAAAAAATACATTCTTTCATCTTCATATGGGGGAATGTATGAAATTCAAAATGTTGACTTGATGGATGTATATTTCACAACCAATTGATGACTAGCTGTTGCATTATATGGGGTAGTAAGTGACCGAGCTATAACTTCATTTGCATATTTCTTACCAGCGGGACAACCCTTCTCTCCTGGAAGCTTCTCGTAACCGGGGCAACACTCATAGCTGATCACCCTGTCGACCAATAAGAACACACGTTAAGGATGACTGCAGCCAATCAGAGATGAAAACAAACAGGTCAGTTTCTCATTACCCTTTCAAATCAAAAAGACTTTAGCCTTGTCCCAGATCTCGTTTGTGCCGTCTTGCCACAAACAGATCTGGGACCAGGCTACAAAAGATTGAGCAATGCGTCTTAGGTTAAATGATTCAACCACATGCTATACACATAGTTCTGCCATTTTTTGTGCATTTAAGATATTTCCACAATAAATCTGAACTGGGCTCAGCTGGATCCCGGAAGGTCATAAAAGCTCATTTCTTCAGAGTGAGAGAAGGAGCAGAGGAATCCACTGACCCAGGGTTGGCCAAAAGAAACTCCTGAAAGGGGACTAAGAGACTGATACTGAAACACAGGCTCCCGCCAGTAAAAACAAAGAGAGAACGGTCAAGCGAAGGTGTACCACTAAACTACTGGATAAAAATGTTCACCTTAAAGTTAAGTCAAAAATAAGTGGTCTAGATCCATGAAAAGGAAGCTTTTAACTAGCTACATTCGGTGGCAAGTTCTTCCTACAACCAGAAAACAAAAAACATGAATAAAAGATGCTAGTCCATTGTGTAAACATTAGTATTGCTAATCAAACAGTGGCACACATAGGTTATAGTGAGCAACACACAGTGGCAATATTAACAATACATAACACACAAAAAAAAGACAAGGCAAAAGCTGTGGAAAGCTACGCTAAAATTATTTGGCATCTTGCAGCCCCGTGCAGCCCCTACACCCCAACTCGAGTACTCCAGCTCTGATCTCTTGGCCCAGACCAGTCAAAGCTCTTCAGCAGAGTACCTGCCCATCTTCCGAAAACATCTGAAACCCTACCTCTTCAAAGAGTATCTTAAATAATCCCACAGCACCCCCCCCCCCCCCCCCCCCCCCCCACAGCTACTTTACTGAGGAAAAAGTACTTACTATGATTGAGATATGTGGTTGTCACACCTAGTTATTTTAAGATGAATGCACTAACTCTAACTCACTCTGGATAAAAGCGTCTGCTAAATGATTAGAATGTAAAAGAGGACCAACTCTGAGTCCTAACATTGATGAAAGTCAATGGAAAACTACCTGAGTCTGACACATTCAATAACCCACTTGTCAACATCAACCCTAGTTAGCCACCCCATCCCCACCATCCCCTTCAAGCATAATGAACTATACTGTAAAAGCTGTTAAAGACCCAGACAGGCGAGGCTCTGAGCAATCAGCTACTGTTAAACTCCCAGGGTGAGGGTAGGGGGTAGCTCAGAAACATGGTTAGGGGACAATCCTAATATTAAGCAAGGGAGGTGGGGTTACAGGGAAACCCTGTAAAACACACTAGCTTGGAAACCAGACCAGACTGATTATCAAAACAGATGGTCACTCAACTTCGTTTTGTTCTCCGCAAGCATAAACAAAGATGGTAGCCATAGATTTCTGACAAAATAAACAGTAAGGTTGCATAATTCAAACACTGTGTACATTGAGACGTCCAAGTGTTGAGGCAAGCGATCCACCAGACTAAAGTACTGAAGAAGAGACTGGAGGGCCATTCGACTTTATTGGTTCCATGTTGAAAACAGCATGCTAGATAGATTTGGATTTACCACACAGTCTCTCATTTTTAACTTTATATTCATAGGTACAGTACCCAAAAAATTGTTTTCTTGCTTTATTGATTAAGAATAGACAACAAAAATGTTCCTTTCCCAGACAAAATAACAAGATGTAATTTGTTGTAAAAGTGACTATGTATAAAGCTTTACAGACTAGTTAGCTTTGGGATTCACCTTTGGTCAAATGTTACTACTTCAAAACATAGTGTGATTGCTGAGCAAAGCAGAAGAACCAACGCATTGACGTTGAGAATGGGGCTTAAAGGTAGCTAAGGGGTGTTGGGAGGTAGCTAAGGGGTGTTGGGAGGTAGCTAGGGGGGGTTGGGAGGTAGCTAAGGGGTGTTGGGAGGTAGCTAGGGGGTGTTGGGAGGTAGCTAAGGGGTGTTGGGAGGTAGCTAGGGGGTGTTGGGAGGTAGCTAGGGGGTGTTGGGAGGTAGCTAGGGGGTGTTGGGAGGTAGCTAGGGGGTGTTGGGAGGTAGCTAAGGGGTGTTGGGAGGTAGCTAGGGGGTGTTGGGAGGTAGCTAAGGGGTGTTGGGAGGTAGCTAGGGGGTGTTGGGAGGTAGCTAGGGGGTGTTGGGAGGTAGCTAGGGGGTGTTGGGAGGTAGCTAGGGGGTGTTGGGAGGTAGCTAAGGGGTGTTGGGAGGTAGCTAGGGGGTGTTGGGAGGTAGCTAAGGGGTGTTGGGAGGTAGCTAGGGGGTGTTGGGAGGTAGCTAAGGGGTGTTGGGAGGTAGCTAGGGGTTGTTGGGAGGTAGCTAAGGGGTGTTGGGAGGTAGCTAGGGGGTGTTGGGAGGTAGCTAAGGGGTGTTGGGAGGTAGCTAGGGGGTGTTGGGAGGTAGCTAGGGTGTGTTGGGAGGTAGCTAGGGGGTGTTGGGAGTAGCTAAGGGGTGTTGGGAGGTAGCTAGGGGGTGTTGGGAGGTAGCTAAGGGGTGTTGGGAGGTAGCTAGGGGGTGTTGGGAGGTAGCTAAGGGGTGTTGGGGAGGTAGCTAGGGGGTGTTGGGAGGTAGCTAGGGGGTGTTGGGAGGTAGCTAAGGGGTGTTGGGAGGTTAGCTAGGGTGTGTTGGGAGGTAGCTAGGGGATGTTGGGAGGGTAGCTAGGGGGTGTTGGGAGGTAGCTAAGGGGTGTTGGGAGAAGGCTAGGGGGTGTTGGGAGAAGGCTAGGGGGTGTTGGGAGGTAGCTAGGGGGTGTTGGGAGGTAGCTAAGGGGTGTTGGGAGGTAGCTAGGGGGTGTTGGGAGGTAGCTAGGGGGTGTTGGGAGGTAGCTAAGGGGGTGTTGGGAGGTAGCTAAAGGGTGTTGGGAGGTAGCTAGGGGGTGTTGGGAGGTAGCTAAGGGGTGTTGGGAGGTAGCTAGGGGGTGTTGGGAGGTAGCTAAGGGGTGTTGGGAGGTAGCTAGGGGGGGTTGTTAGGTAGCTAGGGGGTGTTGTTAGGGTTATTGGTGACTGTAACCTCTCTAGCCCCAGCAGCACCACCTCCCCATGGCCTACATTCTAACCCATTGCCTGTTGAGCCCAGTGGCCACTCACAGTCACACAGACAGGGATTGTTCAGTACAGGACGATGAAAGCTACTACACATTCCTGTCTTTAAAACTCCATCCAGACCTGGGTTCAAATACTATTTGAAATCATTTAAGAAACGTTTTTTTTTTTTGCTTACCTGGCCTAACAGGCCAATATAATATTCCCCAAACTGCAAACCCCTGCACATCTGGCACTACAGACAGGCTAGAGAAAAGGATACAAGTATTAGAAATATTCTAAATAGTATTTTAACAGGTTGGCTCCCTCTTTCCATGGATGTCTGTCTCTGTCTGTAAATGTAATTAAATCCAAGCAGATAAAAGCTTTTAGGAACCTTTGTTTACACAAGCCCAAGTTTGTCCTTTTGAACGCAACTCTCAAACTCCCAGTCCCAGCCCTCTCAAATTGACACAGTTAGGCCTGGCTTGCTATGGAAAAATCACATTTTCCTGGCTCCCTTATGAATGATTAGTGTGTGTTTAAGGATGTAGGGTCCCTCAACAGTGCCCTCTAAAGCCATAATTTCCTCCAAACATCCAGCGCCCACAGCAAAGTTTCACTTCCTCTTCAACTTTCATGAAATTTCCAATGAAAGAAACACTGTTGTGAATCGCCAGCAAAAGTCTCCCGTTACAAAGTCATCAAGTTAGTGTCAGTGGTTACATTTTCTACAGGAAATATCCAGATAATTTCACAATACTTATCAAGGGAGATCAAATAACAAGAACATTCCAGGAACAGAAGACTATCTCTCTCACACACACACACACACACACACACACACACACACACACACACACACACACACACACACACACACAAACACACACTAACTTATTCTAAATAGCAAATGCATGTTTTCTTAGCACACCAATTCCCATGCACTGCAGGGCAAGGCGGTATGTAATGGTGCAATGGTCGACACATGGCTTTCCCATGCCATGCAAAACCTACAACCCAATCTCACAGGAATGTTAGACAGAGCAAATAACCAATAGCATCTTGCTCCCTGCAGGGACGTTAACATTGATGTCAATCAAACCACCGCTACTGTGGAGTGCTGTCAGTGCCTTTACTGCCCATGGATCCAGGACGGGGCCGATCTGGAAGACTGGTAACTTGAGTTGTCCTTTGACCCTCAGAGGTGGTCAAGCTACTTAACACTACCCTGACTGATTGATTAGAGAGACACAAGGTATCCATGATCTACTGTGTAACTACCTAGCTAACCTGGCTATTTATCTTGTCCAAACTAACTACTTAGCTAACCCAGCTATTTATCTCCCTTAAACTAACTACCTAGCTAACCTAGCTATTTATGCTCCAGAAATAGTTGTCCATGCTTCATGTCGTCTACTACAGTTAGACCAGAGACTACTACAGTTAGACCAGAGACTACTACAGTTAGACCAGAGACTACTACAGTTAGACCAGAGACTACTACAGTTAGACCAGATACTACTACAGCTAGACCAGAGACTACTACAGTTAGACCAGAAACTACTACAGTTAGACCAGAGACTACTACAGTTAGACCAGAGACTACTACAGTTAGACCAGAGACTACTACAGTTAGACCAGAGACTACTACAGTTAGACCAGAGACTACTACAGTTAGACCAGAGACTACTACAGTTAGACCAGAGACTACTACAGTTAGACCAGAGACTACTACAGTTAGACCAGAGACTACTACAGTTAGACCAGAGACTACTACAGTTAGACCAGAGACTACTACAGTTAGACCAGAGACTACTACAGTTAGACCAGAGACTACTACAGTTAGACAGTTAGACCAGAGACTACACAGTTAGACCAGAGACTACTACAGTTAGACCAGAGACTACTACAGTTAGACCAGAGACTACTACAGTTAGACCAGAGACTACTACAGTTAGACCAGAGACTACGACAGTTAGACCAGAGACTACTACAGTTAGACCAGAGACTACTACAGTTAGACCAGAGACTACTACAGTTAGACCAGAGACTACTACAGTTAGACCAGAGACTACTACAGTTAGACCAGAGACTACTACAGTTAGACCAGAGACTACTACAGCTAGACCAGACAGCTAGACCAATTTGACATCTAACTAAGATGTTTGGTGCAGTATTTCTAAATGAAAATGCCCGAACAACCGAAAAACCCCTTACCGAAGTCCAAAACGAACAAAAACGTCACAAAATGTCATCATAATATATGCACAAACTCTTCCAAACTGTTTCGGCTGGGAAGCATGAGGACGCCTTTATACTGTGAAATCCCGAGTGGCGCAGTGGTCTAAGGCACTGCATTGCAGTGCTAGCTGTGCCACTAGATCCTGGTTCGAATCCAGGCTCTGTCGTAGCCGGCCGTGACCGGGAGACCCATAGGGTGGCGCACAATTGGCCCAGCGTCGTCCAGGGTAGGGGAGGGAATGGCCGGCAGGGATGTAGCTCAGTTGGTAGAGCATGGTGTTTGCAACGCCAGGATTGTGGGTTCGATTCCCACGGGGGGCCAGTATGCAAAATAAAATAAAATAAATGTATGCACTCACTAACTGTAAGTCGCTCTGGATAAGAGCGTCTGCTAAATGACTAAAATCTAAAATGTTAACTGGACCATTAAGTCATAAACACTTTTAGAATATATTTTCTCCCCCAGGACTGTTGTGACGTCTTGCATTATAGCAGACTATACAGTACATCCCAAATGGCACCCTATTCCCTATATAGTACACTACTTCTGACCAGAGCCCTAGGAGCCCCGGTCAAAAGTAATAGGGATCTGGTCAAAAGTAGTACACTATTTAGGGAGTAGGGTGCCATTTGAGACACACACACTGTCTCATCTCCACTGGCATCAGACAGTCCTGGCAGGACCCAACTACTGCAGGAGAAGTTCCCGTAACAGGATGAAGAAAAAAGCATTTCCCACTTCAACATGCAGCTAGCTGGATTCCAACTGAACCAATATTTAACGAGGTTTTGTAATAACAACCTCAATCTCAGCAGATGATTGAAAACAGACCTCACTGCCTGTCACCTTTTACAACATCGAGTCGTTATGGTTAGGTGACTTAAATATTTGGGCTACTGTTTCAGGAAGGAATTTCACTTATGTGCTTCTTAAACTCTCACCTTCATCGTGCTTACTCTCTGAAGATTGAGATTTTATGCAAGCTGGTGTTTGGGACTAACTCAGCATACAGTGCCTTGCAAAAGTATTCATTCCCCTTGGCATTTTTCCTATTTTGTTGCATTACAACCTGTAATTTAAATGGATTTTTATTAGGATTTCATGTAATGGACATACCCAAAATAGTCCAAATTGGTGAAGTCAAATGAAAAAATAACTTGTTTCAAAGAATTCTAGAAAATAAATCACGGAAAAGTGGTGCGTGCATATGTATTCACCCCCTTTGCTATGAAGCCCCTAAATAAGATCTGGTGCAACCAATTACCTTCAGAAGTCACATAATTAGTTAAATAAAGTCCACCTGTGTGCAATCTGTGTCACATGATCTGTCACATGATCTCAGTATATATACACCTGTTCTGAAAGGCCCCAGAGTCTGCAACACCACTAAGCAAGGGGCACCACCAAGCAAGCGGCACCATGAAGACCAAGGAGCTCTCCAAACAGGTCAGGGACAAAGTGGTGGAGAAGTACAGATCAGGGTTGGGTTATAAAGAAATATCTGAAACTTTGAACATCCCACGGAGCACCATTAAATCCATTATAAAAAAATGGAAAGAACATGGCACCACAACAAACCTGCCAAGAGAGGGCCGCCCACCAAAACTCACGGACCAGGCAAGGAGGGCATTAATCAGAGAGGCAACAAAGAGACCAAAGATAACCCTGAAGGAGCTGCAAAGCTCCACAGCGGAGATTGGAGTATCTGTCCATAGGACCACTTTAAGCCGTACACTTTAAGCTGCAAACACGTTTGGTGTTCTCCAAAAGCCATGTGGGAGACTCCCCAAACATATGGAAGAAGGTACTCTGGTCAGATGAGACTAAAATTGAGCTTTTTGGCCATCAAGGAAAATGCTATGTCTGGTGCAAACCCAACACCTCTCATCACCCCGAGAACACCATCCCCACAGTGAAGCATGGTGGTGGCAGCATCATCCTGTGGGGATGTTTTTCATTGGCAGGGAAACTGGTCAGAATTGAAGGAATGATGGATGGCGCTAAATACAGGGAAATTCTTGAGGGAAACTGTTTCAGTCTTCCAGAGATTTGAGACTGTGACGTAGGTTCACCTTCCAGCAGGACAATGACCTTAAGCATACTGCTAAAGCAACAGTTGAGTGGTTTAAGGGGAAACATGTAAATGTCTTGGAACGGCCTAGTCAAAGTCCAGACCTCAATCTAATTGAGAATCTGTGGTATGACTTAAAGATTGCTGTACACCAGTGGAACCCATCCAACTTGAAGGAGCTAAGCAGTTTTGCCTTGAAGAATGGGCAAAAATCCCAGTGGCTAGATGTGCCAAGCTTATAGAGACATACCCCAAGAGACTTGCAGCTGTAATTGCTGCAAAAGGGGTGAAGAGTTATGCACGCTCAAGTTTTCTGTTTTTTTTGGCTTATTTCTTGTTTGTTTCACAATAAAAAATATTTTGCATCTTCAAAGTGGTAGGCATGTTGTGTAAATCAAATGACACAACCCCCCCCAAAAAAATCAAATTTAATTCCAGGTTGTAAGGCAACAAAATAGGAAAAATGCCAAGGGGGTGAATACTTTCGCAAGCCACTGTAACTGTCAAATCAATTCCTTCTCCCTGTATGCCATCTAGTGTATCTCTATTCTATTCTATGCTTCCAGCAGAATAGAGGTGAAGGCTAAATGCTTTATCTACTTTTCTTTCAGCCTGACAATCTTAGTTGGGAGTTCTCCTTCAATAAACCCACATGAAAGGAGTGGACAACTCATAAATCATGCTTAAAATCTAATGTTTGCATATCTAAATGAACAATACAGGAAATGGCCTGCTCAGCACAAATGACTTAAAAAGTTTGAGATCCTCATCCCTTCTGATGAAGGACAGCCTATCGATCCACAGTAGATGTATTGTCTACACCAGTAGGCTATAATACACATATATTGACGCAGCATGTTGTAATAAATCAACTCACTGTCAACCATTCAAATTAAAATGCACGTTAATTACATGCTTATAGTACACTCACGTTGGCTTGCCGCAGATCTTGCGATGGTACCATTGCTTGCAGTTGGTGAAGTACTTCTTGTCAGTCCCCTGTATTTTCTGCATCGCGCACACGTTGGGTCTAAAAGAGATGAAATAATATTTCATTACGCTTTATTTTGCCGGCACATTACAGTAGACAATTTGAGTTTGCCCTTCACATCGAATTACTTGTTCACTTTACTTCAAGCAGTTGTGAAGCACAACACATTATGCCATTACAAATCAGTAGGCGTAGTAGGTTGTATATTTTCAAACATAAAACATAAATCATGCTTTGTAATTATACGAACAGAAGTCATGTTCGCTTGAAATTGAATAGCGCAGAACTTTCTATGTGCACATCATCATTTGAATAATTTCGGAGCCTTACCCATGCTGTCTGCCTCTTATCCTGCTGTGCTGAAGAACTGATTGATAGGGTGACTTTGCCAAACAAATAGTTGCAATCGAGGTGAGCGCCAAAGTGAATAAAGTTAAGTGCTGCATTTTGGCCTTTTGCCCTCCGCACTCCAGACAAGTCGGAGAACGGTGCGACCAGGAATATATAGTGAAGGAAACATTTATGGGGAGGGGCGTGGGGAGTGAGCCAAGACGGGCGTGGGTAGTGAGCCACAAATACAGTAATGATATTGAAAGAAAATAAGTAGAATAGATTGAAAAGAAAATCGATTCATTAATGTGAACAAATAATTTTGAGATACAATTATTGGTCTTCAAATTACTCCCAAATGCAATGCCATCCCTCGCCTGAGACATGAAGACTTGCATCAGCTCCTCAAGTTAATGCCTGGGTCAGCCATTAGATACATGGGTATTTCAGCTGCTGAGGACATCCACTGTAGAGAGTATCATAGCCAGGACATTTAGCCTTCTGAGGACATCCACTGTAGAGAGTATCATAGCCAGGACATCTAGCCTTCCGAGGACATCCACTGTAGAGAGTATCATAGCCAGGACATTTATTTTACCACAGAAAGTCTCATTTGACCTGAACAAAGTTTCTCAGACAATAGATTCAGTCATTGGCCTGGACTGGGAACCCTGGACTGGAAACTCTGACAAAACTCATTTTTGTTAATACATCTGTCTCACATCCAGAGTATTTCAGCAGGGATGAATGCATTGTTAACTGGGATTCTCTTCCCCTGACCCTATTACGGGGGCTGAGTCACTGGCTTCCATGCCGTCCCTAGGAGGGGTGCGTTACGTAGTGCCAGGCTTTTTTCGCTATACTCGACTTGAGTTGGGTTGAGTCACTGACGTGATCTTCCTGTCCGGTTTGTCGCTCCCTTGGGCTCATGCGGTGGAGGAGATCTTTGTGGGCTATACTCAGCCTTGTCTCAGGGTAGTAAGTTGGTGGTCTGTTGATATCCCTCTGGTGGTGTGGGGGCTGTGCTTTGGCAAAGTGAGTGGGGTTATATCCTGCCTGGTTGGCCCTGTCCGGGGGTATCGTCGGACAGGGCCACAGTGTCCCCCGGTTGCCCTTTTCTTGTGGCAACAGGTCACAAATCTTGCTGCTGTGATGGCACACTGTGGTATTTCACCCAATAGATATGGGAGTTTATCCAAATTGGATTTGTTTTCGAATTATTTGTGGGTCTGTGTAATCTGAGGGAAGTATGTGTTTCTAATATGGTCATACATTTGGCAGCTAAGTTTCCACCTCATTTTGTGGGCAGTGTGCACATAGCCTGTCTTCTCTTGAGAGCCAGGTCTGCCTACGGCGGCCTTTCTCAATAGCAAGGCTATGCTCACTGAGTCTTTACATAGTCAAAGATTTCCTAAATGTTGGGTCAGTCACAGTGGTCAGGTATTCTGCCACTGTGTACTCTCTGTTTAGGGCCAAATAGCATTCTAGTTTGTTCTGTTTTTTTGTAAATTCTTTCCAATGTGTCAAGTAATTTTCTTGTTGTTTTCTCATGATTTGGTTGGGTTCAATTGTGTTGCTGTTGCTATCCTGGGGCTCTGTGGGGTCTGTTTGTGTTTGTGAACAGAGCCCCAGGACCAGCTTGCTTAGGGGACTATTCTCCAGGTTAATCTCTCTGTAGGTGATGGCTTTGTTATGGAAGGTTTGGGAATCGCTTCCTTTTAGGTGGTTGTAGAATATAATGGCTCTTTTCTGGATTTTGATAATTAGCGGGTATCGGCCTAATTCTGCTCTGCATGCATTATTTGGTGTTTTACGTTGTACACAGAGGATATTTTTGCCGAATTCTGCATGCAGAGTCTCAATTTGGTGTTTGTCCCATTTTGTGAATTCTTGGTTGGTGAGCGGACCCCAGACCTCACAACCATAAAGGGCAATGGGTTCTATAACTGATTCAAGTATTTTTTGCCAGATCCTAATTGGTATATCAAATTTTATGTTCCTTTTGATGGCATAGAAGGCCCTTCTTGCCTTGTCTCTCAGATCGTTCACAGCTTTGTGGAAGTTACCTGTGGTCTCTCTCTCTCTCTCTCTCTCTCTCTCTCTCTCTCTCTCTCTCTCTCTCTCTCTCTCTCTCTCTCTCTCTCTCTATCTCTCTCTCTCTCTCTCTCTCTATCTCTCTCTCTCTCTCTCTTCTCTCTCTCTCTCTCCTCTCTCTCTCTCTCTCTCTCTCTCTCTCTCCTCTCTCTCTCTCTCGCCTCTCTCTCTCTCCCTCACCTCTCTCTCTCTCTCTGGGACCAGGCTCAGGCCTAACTGCCTGATGACTCGGCTGTCCCCATCCCCAGATCCACCTGGTCGTTGCAGTTTTTCTGCTGTTTCTTCCTTCAGGCTATGGACCCTGATCTGTGCACTGACTGGGTACCCTTGTCCCAGACTGCTGTTTTCCCCCCTCTCTCTCGCTCTCTCTCTCTCTCTCTCTACCGCACCTGCTGTCTCCACCTCTGAATGCTCGGCTATGAAAAGCCAACTAGCATTTACTCCTGAGACGCTGACCTGTTGCACCTTCTACAACCACTGTGCTTATTATTTGACCCTGTTGGTCATCTATGAATGTTTGAACATCTTGAAGAACGATGGCCATGTCCTCTTATAATCTCCACCCGGCACAGCCAGAAGGAGACTGGCCACCCCTCAGAGCCTGGTTCCTCTCCAGGTGTCTTCCTAGGTTCCTTCCTTTCTAGGGAGACTTTCCTAGCCACTGTGCTTCTACATCTGCATTGCTGCTGTTTGGGGTTTTAGGCTGGGTTTCTGTAAAAGTACTTTGTGACATCTGCTGATGTAAAATGGGCTTCATGAATACATTTGATTTGATTTAATTGTTTCATTCACTGAAGATACAGTGAGGGAAAAAAGTATTTGATCCCCTGCTGATTTTGTACGTTTGCCCACTGACAAAGAAATGATCAGTCTATAATTTTAATGGTAGGTTTATTTGAACAGTGAGAGACAGAATAACAACAAAAAAATGTCAAAAATGTTATAAATTGATTTGCATTTTAATGAGGGAAATAAGTATTTGACCCCTCTGCAAAACATGACTTAGTACTTGGTGGCAAAACCCTTGTTGGCAATCACAGAGGTCAGACGTTTCTTGTAGTTGGCCACCAGGTTTGCACACATCTCAGGAGGGATTTTGTTCCACTCCTCTTTGCAGATCTTCTCCAAGTCATTAAGGTTTTGAGGCTGACGTTTGGCAACTCGAACCTTCAGCTCCCTCCACAGATTTTCTATGGGATTAAGGTCTGGAGACTGGCTAGGCCACTCCAGGACCTTAATGTGCTTCTTCTTGAGCCACTCCTTTGTTGCCTTGGCCGTGTTTTATGGGTCATTGTCATGCTGGAATACCCATCCACGACCCATTTTCAATTCCCTGGCTGAGGGAAGGAGGTTCTCACCCAAGATTTGACGGTACATCTGCTAAATGACTAAAATGTAAAAATGTAAATGTACATGGCCCCGTCCATCATCCCTTTGATGCGGTGAAGTTGTCCTGTCCCCTTAGCAGAAAAACACCCCCAAAGCATAATGTTTCCACCTCCATGTTTGATGGTGGGGATGGTGTTCTTGGGGTCATAGTCAGAATTCCTCCTCCTACAAACACGCAGAGTTGAGTTGATGCCAAAGAGCTCGATTTTGGTCTCATCTGACCACAACACTTTCACCCAGTTCTCCTCTGAATCATTCAGATGTTCATTGGCAAACTTCAGACGGCCCTGTATATGTGCTTTCTTGAGCAGGGGGACCTTGCGGGCGCTACAGGATTTCAGTCCTTCACGGCGTAGTGTGTTACCAATTGTTTTCTTGGTGACTATGGTCCCAGCTGCCTTGAGATCATTGACAAGATCCTCCCATGTAGTTCTGGGCTGATTCCTCACCGTTCTCATGATCATTGCAACTCCACGAGGTGAGATCTTGCATGGAGCCCCAGGCCGAGGGAGATTGACAGTTATTTTGTGTTTCTTCCATTTGCGAATAATTGCACCAACTGTTGTCACCTTCTCACCAAGCTGCTTGGCGATGGTCTTGTAGCCCATTCCAGCCTTGTGTAGGTCTACAATCTTGTCCCTGACATCCTTGGAGAGCTCTTTGGTCTTGGCCATGGTGGAGAGTTTGGAATCTGATTGATTGATTGCTTCTGTGGACAGGTGTCTTTTATACAGGTAACAAACTGAGATTAGGAGCACTCCCTTTAAGAGTGTGCTCCTAATCTCAGCTTGTTACCTGTATAAAAGACACCTGGGAGCCAGAAATCTTTCTGATTGAGAGGGGGTCAAATACTTATTTCCCTCATTAAAATGCAAATCAATTTATAACATTTTTGAAATGCGTTTTTCTGGATTGTTTTGTTGTTATTCTGTCTCTCACTGTTCAAATAAACCTACCATTAAAATTATAGACTGATCATGTCTTTGTCAGTGGGCAAACGTACAAAATCAGCAGGGGATCAAATACGTTTTTTCCCCTCACTGTATGTGGTCCTCTGTGACTTAGTTGGTAGAGCACGGCACTAGAGCAATGTCAGGATTGTAGGTTCTTTTCCCGCTGGTATATATAATTATATAAATGATGTTTTGAATTTAGAACTGGTAAACCAAACAAAGCACAGTTGCATTGCATCTCCTGCATCTCCTGCGTCTCCTGCATCTCCTGCATCTCCTGCATCTCCTGCATCTCCTGCGTCTCCTGCATCTCCTGCATCTCCTGCATCTCCTGCATCTCCTGCATCTCCTGCATCTCCTGCATCTCCTGCATCTCCTGCATCTCCTGCATCTCCTGCATCTCCTGCATCTCCTGCATCTCCTGCGTCTCCTGCATCTCCTGCATCTCCTGCGTCTCCTGCATCTCCTGCATCTCCTGCATCTCCTGCATCTCCTGCGTCTCCTGCATCTCCTGCATCTCCTGCGTCTCCTGCATCTCCTGCATCTCCTGCGTCTCCTGCATCTCCTGCATCTCCTGGGAAAGATGAAAAGTAAAGTTCCAACCATCCAGGAGGACATCATGTCTTTCTGATCTTTTATGTCACCAACTGAGACCTGAATTACTTTAGCAGACCTGAAGCAGTAGTTACTG